CCCACCCCCGTTTTTGATCCCATCCCCCACTCCACCCCCACAAAATGTCTCTGGTATATGGCTGTTCATTATTCTTACTATTTTCTTGCCTGGTCCATCATACACCTACTATGAGCGAAACCATCTAACTCCTGTCTCTTAATGTGCTGTGCTGCAGATGAGGAGGTGGAGAAAGGTCTGGAAACTTCCAATCACATTTTAACTAGCAATCTGCCTGGTAGAGACAGGCCAGCTTGTGAAGCCACCAGCTGCTACCATTTTCTGTGTCATGGCAGGAGGGGAAGAAGGGACCAAGGACACCTGCCATCCCCACTGCAGGTCTCACCTCTGGATTCCCCCAGTGCCTTAAGCCCAGCCAAGCGCCAGCACTAGCCCAACACTGCATAGGCCTGTCCCCTCAGCACCCCAGGGGTGGGCAGTGGGTCATGTGCAGGCAGAGCTGTTGTCTCCCTAGGGCCCCCTGTCTGGGACCCAGAACTCCCTGGAGGATGGAGTTTGGAGGCCAAGGGTTGCTCAAGACCAGCTGAGTCACTGCTTCCAACAGTTTCCAAGGCAACAGCCTTCTCTGCTTTCTGTCCCTCCATGGAAACGCGGGCTGCAGGAAGCCTTGGCAACCGAGCGGTACCCTGCTTCTGGGGGTGCTGCAGTGGCTCAGGGCACGTGGCGTCCATCCTCACTCCTGCAGGAAGCTAAGGGCGACAGAGTTCCTGGCTTAGCCACTAGGTGGCCACAGGATGCTGCCCCAGTCTCCCTGGAAGAAACCGGATATGGCCAGAGGGTCCTTTGGTGATGGTGGGGTGGTGATGGAAGGAGGCTGGTCCCTCTGGCTTCGGGAGAGAGGGATAGTGACACCCTGCACCGCCACTCACTGCTGCTGCCTACCACTGTTGAGATGTTGTTTTGTGTGAACTGGTGCAGCTGCCTTTGAAGAGCTTGACCCCAATATGCCTTTCCCACCAGGCACCCTGAGCCCGGGAGGCAGCACCATCATTTCTGTCCTCTGAGCCTCAGTTTCCTCACTGGCTTCACCATCGATGTGCTCCCAGGGGACATGGGAGAGATGGGAACTTCCCAGGAGAGAGCCAAGATAGCTTTCCCAAATAGCTCATCTCCAAAATGTTCTCTTCTCTAAGATCCCTGTATCTACTTTATTTAACTCTGGGCCTGGACACTGATTTGACATCAAGTACCTCTACATGTCTACACCACAAAGCGAACTGTTTTTCCCCCTACAGTGTCAATCATGAATAGATTCATGTCTCAGAAGAGTGAACAGTCCTGGGAAGAGACCATACTTGCGACTGTGTGTATGGGTTCTGCACCACACCCAGCACCAATGACCTACTGCTGATTGGTCAGAAACACAGGTGACAATATGGACTTGCCATTGGCACATGAAATGTGTATTTGGGGGGGTGGGGTGGGCTGTCTTGTAGGACTGAGCCCTTAACCTGTAGAATGTGATGGGTAGAACGGAACTTAGGTGACCAGCTGGCCAGATAACTGCTTGTTGGTATTGGAAACACACACGCACACATCATTTTTAGTATTAGAATTGGACTATGTGACCCAGCAATTTCACTCCTAAGTATATCCCCCAAAGAACTGAAAACAGGGACTCAAACAAATACTTAAACACAAATATTCATTGCAGCATTATTCACAATAGGGAAAAGTAAGACAAATCAACAAACTATCCATCAGCAGATGACTGAATAAGCAAATTGTGATATATCTGTATGATGGAATGTTATTCACCTGTGAAAAGGAACAAACTAGTGATACAGGTTACAATATAGATGAACTGTGCAAATGTGCTGATAATATCCAGTATAGGTAAACTCACAGCAGCAGAAAGCAAACTGGTGCATGCCAGAGATAAGGGAGGATAGGGAATGCTTAATGGGTATGGCTTTACTATTGGGGTGAAAGTGTTTTGGAACTTGGTAGAGGGGGGTTATGGATCACTATGAATATACTAAACACTACTGACGTGAACACTTCACAGTGTGAATTTTTTCTTACTGAAGATTATTTTTTTTTAAGATTTATCGATTTATGCATATAGAACTGAGGTATAGGCCAGCAGGCAGATCGATAAAGTACACTGCTGAGGGGAGCAACAGGTGTGTCAGGAGAGGTCTGCCATGCTAGGTGGGTCACCTCCAGGGCTGGGATCCATCCGGCACCAAAGCGGCTGCCACTGGCTTGCAGTGCTACACTTTAACCCACTGTGCCACCAGCCAGGGCCCTGAAGGTTGTTTTTAATAAAGAAAGAAACCGTCTGTCCCATATCTAGCCTGAATCACACGCCTGTTCTGAGGTAGTGTAGACCCTGACCCTGTCTTTAGAACAGGAAGGCAGTGCTAACATAGAGACAACCTGGTGTAATTCAACCACCACACCAGAGTTCTCAAAGTGAGGACGCGAGATCAGCAGTATCATCAGTGTCCCTTGGGAACTCATTAAAAAATTCATATTCTGGGCCCTCCCTGGTGGCACAGCAGGTTAAAGCACAGCACTGAGAAGCTAAAGCCACTTCCGCATGAGTTCAATTCCCTCCTGCCCTGGAGGTGACCACATGGCGTGGCAGACCTCTCCTGACCCGCCCGCTGCTCCCCTCAGCAGTGTACTTCGCCAGTCAGCCTGTTCTGCTCCCCACTCTGTCTCTGGTGAAGCCTCTCACTGCCCCTGCTCCTCTGGCCTGTACCCCAGTTCTGTATGCACAAATAAATAAATCTTTTAAAAAATGCATATTCTCAGGCACCCCCCCCCCAAACTCCTGAATTAGAGGCTCTGGGGATGGGGCCAGCAATCTGCATTTTACAACCTCATCCCACTTGGTTCTGATCTAGTGTGAGTTCTAGCCATGTAGGCACCCGACAGCAACACTACTGTAGGTGGCCAGGAAGGCGAGCAGGTGGGGTGAGCGGGAGGTGGCCGGCAGTGGAGAGTGGGGGGGGTTTCCAAAGAGAGGCCAGTGACCCTGCAATTTGAGGAGCAGACCGTCTCAGGACATTAGCCCTTGGTGTGTCCCCTGGGCAGCAGGGAGCAGCTTACCCAGGGAAAGGTCCCTTTCTGCCCTGTATGACTATGCTGGGCCCGGTGCCACCCTACTGCTTTGCAGAAGCCCTCCTGCCGAGTCTTACCCTTCACGGTCGATGTGTGGTAGCGGCTGCTTGGGCATGTGTCTGAGCTTCCGGTGGAACTGGGTGAAGTCCAGCTTTTCAGGCTGCAGGTCCCAGGTGGCACCACTAGGGGGCGAGGGAGGGCGAGAGACGTGAAGCAAGGGTAAGACAAGCCTAGTTTGGTTGGGGACCCGATAACCCAGACACAGCGGAGTATAGAAGCATCCTCAGAAAGAAGAGAGCAGGAAGAGGAGGGCACCCCACGAAAGGCAGAGATTGGGCAGGGGCTGAGGTGTCAGCTCTGTGCCCCCAGGCCCCAGGGCAGGGGTCTGCCTGCAAAGTCCTCACCTCTCCTCACCCCTGTTGGACATAATGCAGCCTACAAGACACAAGTGTGGGCCTGATATTTGCTCCAAAGTGGCCACCCCAAACCACTACAGAGTTTATTTTCACATCAACATTTGAGAAAGGCTGGAGAGAGAAGAGACTAAAAATCTGCCGCGAGACCCTCTGACCGCAGCTCAAAATGGCAACAGGTGGCTTTGAGACACACCAGGGAAGCAGCAGGCCAGCCCGCCAGGGGCTTCGGGAGTCCAAGCTCTCGCAGCTCTTCCTTTCCTCCAGGCCTCTCTGCAGCCAGCCGGACTCCCCCATAATCTCGGGTCTGGATACGCTCCCTGCTGCCCGCCACGGGCCACTCTCCTCCCCTCTTCCGCCCACCCACCGCGCTCTCTGCTCCTCTCCCCTCCCGGACAGTTGGACCGTCCGTTTCTCGCTTTCCCCCTCAGCCCTTTTCCTCTGCCTCCTCGTTTCTCCCTCTGAGGCTCCCTCCTCCTTTTCCTTCCTCGGGTCTCCTCTGCTTCCTCTGCAGTCTCATCCCTGCTCTTCCTCCCTTACCTTGTTTCTCTCCTGCTGGACCAGCCACCTCTCAACATTTACCGTCCCCCACAGATTCACAAGGGCACGTGGGGAAACCAGCCGGGGGCTCCAGCCGGAGTCACAGGGCAAGAGAACGAGGCGCTCACCTGAAGGAATCGAAGGTGTTGGCAGCCCAGATGTCCGTGCCCAGCACGTCCAGAGAGCTGTCTTTGCTGCCATTCTGGAAGAGTAGAACAAAGCGGTAGCATTACTTTCCGGGCCAGGACACTGGGGGGGTGAGGGGCGGAGCCGGAAGCCAGCTCATCTTCTGACCCCAGCTGCCTGTCTGCCTTTTTGGGGCTCCGTGTGTATAGACTCACCGTCAGCTTTCTCCAAGTGTCCCCACAACTCTCGCCCACCCCCCTCCAGCAATGCACAGGACATACAGTGCGACTCATATTTTAAAGGCCAGGAGAGGCAGAGGCACCCCTGTGGCCCCCGCAAGCCTCCTTCCCGACCCTCGGTTCCTGCATCAGCTGCCGGCAGGCGGAAGCCTCCCGCTGATGCTCACCTGGCCATGTCATCCTCACACAGCCCAGCTCCTGCCTCCACCTCTGCCCTGCCCCCCAGACAACGCATCTGATTTTCAGAGCTCAGGAACACCAGTGCAGACAGGCCGGAGCAGACTGAGGAGCTGGGACCAGCTTGGCAGAGTCCTGGGGAGCCTCCAGGAAAGCACGATGCAGAGGACACCCTGGAGCTGTGAACTGGGCGGCTGTGGAGGAGGCGCCAGCACCAGAGAGCGGGGGTCTTGGGGTCCCTGCACAGGACATGCTGAGGGCGGTGGGTACCACTCGCCTCCCTGCCGAATGTACTAGAAAGGTAACCGCCATGACGTGGCTGTCCTCACAGGTGACAGGCAAGCTTCTGGGGAGGTGCAGGGGAAAGTCTGGTCACGGGGTGGCCCACTCATTCCACTCAATTTGAACAGTTCCTGCCGCGCATAGGAGTTGGGACTTTTCCTCAGATGCTACGATGGATTGTGGCAGGCACACGAGTGCTGCTCGCGGCAATTGAAAGCAGCCTGGCACTCAGCAACAAAACACCTCTCTCTCTTGAGTGTCCCCTCAGAGAGGAAAGAACCTCATCTGCAGCACTTTTCACAGATGCCCTGGTCGGGATAAGTGGGGGTTCAAGCAGAGCCCAGTGGGGCCAGGCCTTGCTAGGCAGTGACTGCCCCTGGCAGTGGAGCTGGAAACCAGGGCCCTGAAGGCTTTGCACCCCATCGCCAGTACACACCAGCCCTGCGCTGAAAGCATCCGAGCGACCCCAGAGCCACCCCAGAGCCACCTGCCATGTCACCTGTCATATCACTTCAGATCCCATCAAGCCTGCGGAGCTGTTAATGTGCCCAGATCTCCCCTCACGGGCTCTGGATACGGCCCCTCAGACTTTGGCACACCCAGGACGCGTGCACGCACACACACACACTGTCACATGCTTCACAACCCTCTTCACCTATGTCCAGAGATGTCAGAGAAGCCAGAGGGGCAGAAGCTGCAGACAATGGATTCCTAGACAGACCGCAACCTGATTTCTGGAACTTCACCCCAGGAGCCAGGCACACCTCACTCTCCAAAGCACCCAGCTCCTCACTTAAACTGAGGAACCACAGGGCAGTGAGGACAAGCTGAGAACAGAGAAGAGGTGACTACGGCTGGCTTGTTCCTGGCTCCCCTCCTTCACCCCCTAAGCCTTCAGATGGCAGCTGCAGAGACGCCACTTTTGGGACCCCTACTGCAGTCACAGTGAGTCTGTGACCCTTCACCCCTGGTCACCCGAGGCTCCTGAAGATGTAGGCATCCCAGTCTGCATGGTGTCCCCAGTGACCATATTGTGAAGGTTCTGGGGCCCTGTCCTGGTCTAGCAGGAAAGAGAGCAAAGCCATCTGCATAGGCTGCAGCCGGAGCAGGCCTGCTGCATTCCGGGAAGTGGCCAGGCAGGAACCTGGCACCCTCAGAGAAACCGACTGTTCAGTTTCCTCTAATGACCGAGCAGCCAGCTCAGGAAGATTCAGCTATGGGTACCTGGCCTTTAAAGTCAGGGAAATGATCAGACCCCTGCATTTGCCCTGTTCTGCTCAAAGATGGCACCGATGTCTCTTTATAGGTCAAGATAATTTAGGAAATTGAAAGATCAAAACCTATAGGGGAAAGCCCCTGTTCAGAATAACTGCATTTTCATGCCAAGGACTCTCCAGACCCTTTCTTCCATGTACAGACTACTGGGCCACCAGGTGGACATTAGCTCCATGGGTGGCCATCCGAGCACTTCTCATGTGCAATCTGTCCCACTGTCCCCATTCGAATTCCCACTTTGATTATCCTGGCCCAGCTGCGATGGGACTTTAAATTCCGCCAGTGGTGTGTGGGGCTGCTGTGCCCTTTCTGAATTCTGAGGAAACAAGCCAATATTCTTCCCGCCCCTCCTCCCTGGAGTCTTCCCCAGCTCCAGGGCCTTCCCCCTGCAGCAGACATGCACTTTTCTCCACTTGGGCCCCCAAAACCCACAGAGCACCCTGAGACCGGTTCCATTCCTGACTGTCCCACTGCAGACTCAGGGGTGTTCTAGAAACACTAACCCATTGGCTCTCAAATGTCAGTGTACATCAGAATCTCCTGGGAGGTGAGCATTGATGGCTCAAATTTAGCTGGACTAGTCCACGGAACATGCTTTTGGACACACTGGGGATTAAAGAATTTCATGGAGGGAAGCAAAGCGCAAAAGAGTCCCTAGTTAAATGTTTGGAACACGTTGGCACATACATTATTTCATTGCAGGACTTCTCAGTGGCTTCACTGGTTTCAAATGAAGACCTGCTCTTCAAGTAGGTGCTGGGGGAGCATGTACTGTTTCCCAACCTCTTTGGCCACAAAACCCACCCCACTCTTCCTTTTTATTCCACAGAGTGTTTTGCCTAACTAGGGTTCCCCAGAACCCTCTTTAGGAATCAGCTAGTGTTCTCTGCATGAACTCTCTTCCCAATTTAACTTTTCTCCCCTTAATGGCAGGGGCCCTGGCCTTACCCATCACCTCTGTTTGTCCCATTCCAGCCCCGGGAGCCAGTCTTATTCACTAAATATTCTGCATCAAAGAGTCAGTGGCCAGGCACTGAGAGTTTCTGGTTTCTTCACGAACAGTCTCCAGTTTACAAATCCATGGTGATCACAGTGCCCCACCTCTTCCCTGGCTCTATGCCCCATCCAGCCCCTCACCCCCCAGGTTGCTGCAATGCCAAGGTTCTGAGAAACTTCACCTAAAACAATCACTCTTTCCAGTGGACTTTTTTTTTTAGTGCTTAAAATACTGCTGAATCCTTCACAACAGCCCCTTTTACTGGCAATTAGGCAGCTCATGCCAGGGTAAGCCTCTGCTCTCAGAACAGAACACTGAGGGATAATAAGCACTTTCAACCATGTGCAAAAGGAAGTGGAAGTGGCAGCCTACCAGCAGGGAGGCCCCTCCCCCACCAGGAAGCCCCGCTGGGCACACAGCTACACGCAGCTTGGGATGACAGCTCAGAGGTGACAGCATTCTGCATGGCATCACTATGTACCCAATGCCAGCAAGCACTTCACATCTGTTACAGTTCTTGAAACAGATGTTATTGTCACCACCCCCATCTCACTGACAGGCAAACTGAGGCTCAGAGAACTTGCCCACAAGCTTAGATCTGGATCCTAGGCGAGGAATGCATACAACTGGCTCCTTAGGGTTTCCACTCATCACCACTGCATTGAACAGTTAACCAATCTGACCCCCCTGCAGATTTATAAAATAGTAACTTATCCACGCCCTGCCAACATTTGGATTTGGCAAATAGCTTTTCTTTGGCCAGAAACCTTCCAAACCTTTCCTTCTCATTTCACAGAGCATTTTACAAACTTGGTGTCCTGGAATCCTCTTTGGGAAACAGCCCTGTAATGAATGTTAATTCCTTTCTTCAGTTTGTCTGTTTCTGCCCACGTTTGGGAAGACAGAACCGCTGGGGGTGGGGGTGGGTAAATCACCTATCGTGAAGTTAAGAGGGAACATGGAGGTGTGAATAGGGCACAGAAGCGCTGCATGAATGAAGGAAGCCAGGTGGGAGTGAATGATTGTTCAGTAGGAAAGCACACTAAGTCAGAGCAGCAAGGAAAACAGCCTTCTTCCACGCTGTCTTTTTTCTTTATTAATCCACAGTGGCAGTGACTTTTGCTTGTGTGTGTGCTTGGGTGTGTGGGTATGTGTGTGACAACAATTCCAGACTACAAGGGCTTGAAAATTAGCCAAAGTCTAACTAATTGGGCCTGGGGGCAGCAGGAAGAATCTTCCCATTAGCAGGAGAGTAAAGTTCCAAACATAGGCGCTCCTGGCACATTAGGTGTGTTGTGCCCACGGACAGAGACGGAGGGAGCCTGTCCCCCACAGCTGAAGCACTGCACCTAAGGGAGCCACTGTCACCTGGATGTGCAGAACCCTGCACATGGCACCAGAGAGGAGGCAGTGCCGGCCGTGTTCTGCCAAGGCTCACACTCCCACTCCATTGCCTGCTCAGTGAGGAATGTCCTGTTCATGAGGGCCACGAGCAAGATGACCCCCATGCGGATACTCTCATCTCAAGGACATGAGATTTACAACAGGGAAGGTCTATCTCTTTAAACAGTGAACAAGGCCTCTCTTTCCTCTCTAAGGACATTCCCCCTCCCCTTGACTCAAGCTTCTGTCTATCTTCCAAAGAATATCAACGCCATGGGCCACAAGAGGCCTACCGTCCCTGCATTCTACAGGATTAAGGTGCCCTGGAACCCTCTTTGGGAGGGCTGTTACCACCCAACTGAGGGGTCCTAGAAATGGAAACAACAATGGAAGAGGCACACAGTCAAGTACTATGTGATATGATGCATCCATCCATGTAGGGATGAGAGGCTTATGACTCTGAGAACCCAGGTGAGACTTCCTACCAGCTGCAACATGGTTGGGACTGAACAGGGAAAGCAGTGTTCGAGGCCTGCAAGCTGCTTCCTGGGGGTCTCAAGAGAGCCACTCAGCCTTGGACCTGTGTGTTTCCTTCTGAACCAAGAGCAGTGGACTAGATTAACAATTCCAAGCTAGGGGTGAGATGAGGTGACTCATTGACACTGGGAAAATTTTTATTTTACAGGAAATGTTTGGAGACCAGAAGGCTCCAAAGGCCTCTCC